TCAGGTGATCTGCCCACCTCAGCCTCCCAAAGTGCTGGGATTACAGGCGTGAGCCACCACACCCGGCTAAGATTTTCAAATAAAATTTGAGAATCTCTCTGATGGGTAAGAACTGGGGATTTTTTTATTTTTATTTTTATTTTTTTTGAGACAGTCTTGCTCTATTGCCAGGCTGGAGTGCAGTGGCGCAATCTTGGCTCACTGCAACCTCCGCCTCCCAGGTTCAAGCAATCCTCCTGCTTCAGCCTCCCAGGTAGCTGGGACTACAGGCACACACCACCATGCCCAGCTAATTTTTTTGTATTTTTATTAGAGACAAGGTTTTATCATGTTGGCCAGGATGGTCTTGATCTCCCTGACCTCGTGATCTGCTCATCTTGGTCTCCCAAAGTGCTGTGATTTCAGGCGAAAGCCACCGTGCCCGGCGGGGACTGGGGATATTTCAACAAAATTACCTGATAGTTAGCTGAGAGCAAATATTTGTGAAAATAGGACAGTAGGCAGACATCAGAGACAGGGGAATAAACTGGAGAGAAAACAACAAGGAAGGAAGAGGCTAAAGACAAAGACACACATGCTTGTGGCCATATAAACATGTATTTATACTATTAATCATTTTCACTAGTCTGTCTTATCTGCCTGATATCTGACACTACACAGAATACAGATTCTATTTTCCATGGGTGCCGTGCGTTCTAATCACTCAAAATTACCCCCAAAAAATAGCTTTTAGAAACTTTTATTAATTGGTTATTCTAGGAAAATACAGATCTGTTTCTCGAGGTCAAAGATTATAGAATTTTGAATTTTTATATAGCTTTCGAATAGTGATAGCTAAATTTATACACTGAATCAAGTGCTCTAAACAACATGCCTTAGTAAAAGCTATATACAAAAAGAGTTACCTCTTGTTTTTCTTGATTTTGATCCGCATTAAGTAAAGTTGGTATTTTAGGTGAATCTGTTTTCTTTGACTCCCTCTTCAGCATTTTTATCTGTTTAGCTTTTGCAAAAATATACAAAACAATGAAAATTTGTTATTCCTACTTTGAAATTTTACTTTCATTTTCAAGAATTTCAAATAGAAATTCTGATATCCACTAAGTTAGTTTCTCAGTTTATTACAAAGGAACAAAATAAATTATAAGTTGTAATGGTAAAATATGGTAAATTATTTGTTTTATAACTTTACAAATAGTCTACCAAGTATTAAAATAAGACATTTATTTTATTTTATTATTCTCAGTGTAACTGTTCAGTGGATCAGATAATTCCTCTTGAACTGTATAGATTATATTCTTGCTATTATATTAACTTTTCACAAGGTGTCACTGTTCTTTAAAGAAAAATAAGAACATTTATTCAAGACAAAAATAAGTTTCACTCCAAGATAAATGTTATGTTTATAAATCTTTTTTTTTTTTTTTTAATTCTCCTTCCTTCTTTCCTGCCTTCCTTTCTTCCTTCCTTCCTCCCTTCCTTTTTTCTTTTTTTTTTTTTAATTAAGACAGGGTTTCACCATGTTGGCCAGGCTGGTCTTGAACTCCTGACCTCAGGTGATCCACCCGCCTTGGCCTCTAAAGTGCCTGGATTACAGGTGTGAGCCACTGCGCCCGGCCAAGACGGAGTCTTATTCTGTCACCCAGGCTGGAGTGCAGTGGCGTGATCTCAGCTCACTGCAAACTCTGCCTCCCAGATTCAAGCAATTTTCCTGCCTCAGCCTCCCAAGTACCTGGGATTATAGGCATGAGCCACCACGCCCAGCTAATTTTTGTATTTTTAGTAGAGATGGGGTTTTGCCATATTGGCCAGGGTGGTCTCAAACTCCTGACCTCAGGTGATCTGCCCATCTTGCCTTCCCAAAGTGCTGGGATTACAGGAGAAAGCCACTGCACCCAGCCTATAAATCTTATCTATTAAGTCCTTGGATGCCCAAAATATATCTAAAATTCCTGATACTATATGGGTAAATGATCATGAACATAGAAAGACATTTTACTCCAGGTCATATACCAAACCAAATTTCTCAAACACTGCTTTAACAGTTCAACAACATTGAGCTAATAAAAAAATTATCCTTTGCGGCCAGCTGTAATGGCTCATGCCTGTAATCCCAGCATTTGGGAGGCCAAGGCGGTTGGATCACCTGAGGTCAGGAGTTCAAGACCAGCCTGGCCAACATGGTAAAACCCCATCTCTACAGAAAATACCAAAATTATCCAGATGTGGTGGCAGGCACCTGTAGTCCCAGCTACTCAGGAAGCTAGGCATGAGAATCACCTGAACCCAGGAGGCGGCAGTTGCACTGAGCTGAGATTACTCCACTGCATTCCAGCCTGGGTGGCAGAGTGAGACTCTGTCTTAAAAAAAACTAACTAAATAAATAAAATTAAACAATTTTCCTTTTAAAGCTGTCTTAACTTCTCCTTCTTATTTTTTTATTAAAAAAATTTTTAGGGCCGGGCGCGGTGGCTCACGCCTGTAATCCCAGCACTTTGGGAGGCCGAGGCGGGTGGATCACGAGGTCAAGAGATCGAGACCATCCTGGTCAACATGGTGAAACCCCGTCTCTACTAAAACTACAAAAAATCAGCTGGGCATGGTGGCTCATGCCTGTAATCCCAGCTACTCAGGAGGCTGAGGCAGGAGAATTGCCTGAACCCAGGAGGCGGAGGTTGCGGTGAGCCGAGATCGCGCCATTGCACTCCAGCCTGGGCAACAAGAGCGAAACTCCGTCTCAAAAAAAAAACAAACAAACAAAAATTTTTTTAGAGACGGGAGACGGGGGTCTCCCTATGTCACCGTGAAGTGGAGTGGTGTGATCATGGTTCACTGCAGTCTCAACCTGCTGGGTCAAGCGATCCTCCTACCTCAGACTTCCAAGTAGCTGGGACTACAGGCGCACACCACAATGCCCAGCTAGTTTGTTTTTTGTAGAGACAGGGTCTTGCTATGTTGCCCAGGCTGGTCTCAAACTCCTGGGCTCAAGCAATCCTCCTGCATTGGCCTCCCAAAATGCTGGGATTACAAGCCTACGCCTCTTTAAAATTATCTCCTTAAACTTGTACCCCTTATTTGACAATGGGGAGAAAATCTCATCCGCTGAAATGGTTTTCTCTCCAATTTACTGTTTTCTACCTAAGTTGCACTATAAGTTATGTTATGAAAAAATCTTATAAAAGATATAATATTTGTAAAGCTATGCAACAAATGTGTACCTTCCATTACTTTTGTATCTTTTGACTGTATTGTGACAGGCAATTCTGGAAAATGGAATTTTTTTCTGTCAGATCTGGAAAAGTTCAGCTTCCTTTTGTTCACGTTTGCCATTTGGTCACTGTGACCTGTTTGCTCATTAAATATATCCTTCTCCATTTGGCTCTAAACAAACAAATAAACAAGTATTATTTTGAAGAAATGTGTCTATTTATAGAATGACAAGCCTAGAATTGCTAGCCATTTGGATGGTATAAGATAGATAAAACAATTATTTTAATAATTAAGAAGATTTAGAATAGAATACTGTTGAACATATCAACAGATCAAACTCCAATAAAAGTTTCATAAAGCAAACATTTTAGCATATTTAATATTCTGAGCATAATAGTCTTGCTGGTGAGAACCACAGTAATAATAATATTATTTTGAGACAGTCTTTCTCTGTCGCCCAGCTGGAGTGCATTGGCATGATCATGGCTCATTGCAATGTCAACTCCCTGGGCTCAAGTGATCTTTCCATCTCAGTCTCCTGAGTAGCTGGGACTACAGGCATGCACCACCATGCATGCCTAATTTTTAAATTTTTTGGAGAGATGGGGTCTTGTTATGTTGACTAGGCTGACCTCAAACTCCTGGGCTCAAGTGGTCCTTCTGCCTTGGGCCCCCAAAGTGCTGCGATTACAAGCATCTGCCACTGCACCCGGCCTTACTATTATTATCAATATTATTATTATGGAGACAGAGTCTTGTTCTGTTGCCTGGGCTGGAATACACTGGTGCTCTCTGTAGCCTCAACTTCCGGGGCTCAAGCCATACTTCCACCTCATCCTACCCCATCTGAAACCACAGCCACATGCCACCACACACGAATAATTTATTTTGTCATTTTTTGTAGAGACAAGGTCTTGCTACATTGTTCAGGCTGGTCTCAAATTCCTGGGCTCAAGCAATCCTCCCAGCTTGGCTTCCCAGAATGCTAGGATTATAGGTGGAAGCCACTGTGCCTGGCCAGAACCACATTTTTTCTTTTCTTTTTTTTTTTTTTTCTGAGATGGAATCTTGCTCTGTCACCCAGGCTGGAGTGCAGTGGCGAGATCTTGACTCACTGCAACCTCCACCTCCCAGGTTCAAGCGATTCTCCTGCCTCAGCCTCCCAAGTAGCTGGAATTACAGGTGCCTGCCACCATGCCCAGCTAATTTTTTTGTATTTTTAGTACAGACGGGGTTTCACCACATTGGCCAGGCTGGTTTGGAACTCCTGACCTCAGGTGATCTGCCTGCCTCAGCCTCCCAAAGTGCTAGGATTACAGGTGTGAGCCACCACGCCTGGCCAACTTTTCATTTTTAATACTATTCATTGCACTCTGACTTTGAACAAATTGCTTCAGTTCATTTTCTTAACAACTTATTTACCTATCTACAAAATGATATGCTTTGTAAACACTGGGAATACCCAAAGGAAAAAAATTAGTTGCGCATCCAGCATGTGGAAAACATTCTGTGACACCAGATTTTTGTTCGTTTGAAAACAGATCATAAAATGTTGTCTAGCTCAATGAACATTCTTCCACAATGTAATGTGTAGTACCCCACCATATGAATGTACCCTAATGTACTTAATTAGTCACCTGCTCTTGGACATATTTGTATTGTTTTCAGTTTTTATTATTATAATTAACATTGTGCTTCAATTTTGAATAAATCACTTTCATATGTAAAAAGTTGGGAGATCCTATTAGAGATGAATAATACAAAATATACCAAAACAAAACAAAACAAAAGTTGAGAGGGGGATAAACTACATTGATTACTTTTTCTAGTGAAAGTAAGTTGTGTTTATTTGACAATTGTTTTTAATCCATAAAGTAAGATACTAAAAACATTTTTTGGAAGTGAAAAAAACAAAACTTGTGACTTCTAAAGGTGGAAACCTTAACTTACTCTGCCTAAGTCACATATTAAATACATAAATTAAGATATATGAAGTTAATTAAAATTGTGAAAGCACTAAGAAAATAATGGCCTATTTTCATCTCAGGAATAAAAAAAGAAACTAAGAGCACATTTTTAAAGGTGTTAGAGGCTGGGTGAGGTGGCTCACACCTTTGGGAGGCTGAGGTAGGAGGATCCCTTGAGCCCAGGAGTTTGAGACCAGCCTGGGCAACATAGTAAGATGGTGTCTCTACAAAAAATGAACAAAATTATCTGGGCATAATGGCACATACCTGAAGTCTCAGCTACCTGGGAGCCTGAGGTGGGAGGATTGCTTGAGCCCAGGAAGTCGAGGCTGTGGTTAGCTGAGATCATACTACTACCCTCCAGTGTGGGCAACAGAGAGAGAGCCTGTCTCAAACACACAAACAAACAAACAAACAAACAAAAAAGTTCTAGAGCCCTAAAGATAGAGAAAAGGAAAAAAGAAGTAATGTTAAAAGAGGTCATATTTTAATGAGTAGCTTCTTCCCTTACTTGAATAGGACCTGTATCCTCTTGCCTGCTATTAGGCATAAGTTGTCCAGTAGATTGTGAAGAAGTTCGTTGCTTTTTTGCTCTCTCATTTAACCTAATATTTAAAAATGAATAAGAAGCTATTAGAACTCCCCAGAAATGCCTTGGTTTTTTTTGTTTGTTTGTTTGTTGTTTTTTTTTAGGCAGAATCTCACTCTGTCACCCAGGCTAGAGTACAGAGGCATGCTCTCAGCTCATTGCAACCTCTGTCTTCCAGGTTCAAACGATTCTCTTGCCTCAGCCTCCCAAGCAGTTGGGATTACTGGTGTGCTCCACCACACGCAGCTAATTTTTGTATTTTTTGTAGAGACAGCGTTTTGCCATGTTGGCCAGGCTAGTCTCAAATTCCTGCACTAAAGTGATCCACCCGCCTTGGCCTCCCAAAGTGCTGGGATTACAGGCATGAGCCACTGTGCCCAGCCAAAATGCCTTTAATTTAGCTTCAAGAATGAATAAATTATGGCATGGAAGTCTACTGTTTGAACACTGAGTACGAAATGCAATAGTCAGTCCTTACATACCAACTGCTCTAAGGAGAGAGGTGGTAACAGGGCAGAGAACAATTAATGCATGCTAACATCAGTGGTGACAGGCATGTTGGGGGGTCACTCCTGCTGGCCTATTTGTCCCCTTCTATCTGTTCTGAATTTGGATCTCTTAACTACTGGCTTTCTCAATTTATGAACTTACTGTCCAATACTGACTGGCTTACAACCATTGTTACTGGCACCATGGTTTTGGGATCACCTCACAAACAATTGGGCTCTTGCAGTCTGTAGCCTGCTGTACCTTTGGACTGACACAGACATGTCCGCTTGCTCACCTCTGCAGACCACTGGACTTCACAATCTGTAGCCCAAACCAGTCTGCTAGTAACCTCTTGGGCTAATGAACCCAGTCTCTTTCCTCCCCTAGAATGACAGTAGTCTCCCTAAACTTTGAAGTGGCCCTACTACCTTGCTGGACAGACCCTCACCATCCATCATATAGCCCTTGATTAACCAGACTCATGGACCAGTCTCTCAATCTGTATCAGAGGTTAGATCTAAAACTGGCCTAATATGCTGTTTTTCTCCCAAAATATTTCATCTTGAAAGGCTATTTGACTTACAAAAGATTATTTTTTACTATCCTTTCTCCACTTAGAGAATTTGCTATGACATAGAAATAAAGTTTATTTTGTTATACCAAGGCACATTGATACCAGAACGTAAGTCATATCACCTTTTTTTCTCTTCAAAAAGAAAAACATTTTTCTAAGTGTCTTTTTTTTTTTAATGAGGTTTTTCCAAAAGACGTTAGTGAAAATTTAAACATCTAAATGGCCAAGAAAAGTTAATTTCTTCTACAGTGTTCATAAGAAGCACTCAGTAAATGGCCCATTATAGTTTTAACTTCAATATATTTTCTTCAAGTTCAGTTTACATACAGACACTATGAACATCTGAAACACCATTATACAGGAACATTGTATTATTTAGGTTTCTTCTCTGTTACAGCTCACCTCACACTGGGGTGAAAGAGATTTAAATTGAGATTTGCAGCTATCAAATTACTGTTAGTTAGATTGATGGGTGGCATTGTCACAGAACTTCCGCAATGTGGATACTCTTTCAAGCCATTACAGTCAGTGTTGGGGTTGATAGGGTTTGGTGGTTCAATGGTAGCATGAACATTTTCATTTGTATCCTGTTGACAAAGTCCACTTTCATACTCCATCTTTTTCAGTTCTAAGGTATCTCCTCTTCCTCCTTTGACTTTAATAACTCTGACTTTGATCTCGTTGGGCTTTTTCTCTTTTTCTATTTCCTGGAATAAATACGTCCAAAATCTGAGTCATGAGAACGGTCGTCACTAGAGTCTAACTATAATATAAATCTACCAGCTGAAACAAAAACCAAAGTTCTTACCTTTCCCAAAACTGAGCTACTTAGCAGTTTATTAGTATAAACTGTATTTCTTTCATCTTTCCTAGGTTCATTTTCTTTAGAATTCTCTTTTGCCTTTATTAGTGAATTGACTCTTGCTTCCTGCAGTAATTTAGCTTTCAGTTCTGGCATGAATCTGATAAAACAAGCAATAGCAACGAGTAATCTTTTTATATATGCAGATGGAGTATTTTATCTTGAATGAACCATTTCATCCAATTAATTTAGATTTCAGCTACAGCATAAATAATGCTGTCTATAATGCATGCCAAGAAATGGCCCAACATTTACCTAATAAAATTTACTTTCTGGTAAAGATACATCCTTCAAAAATTACACTATGCAATCTACTATATAAAATTTTACAAAATAGATTTATATTAATTAGATTCCTTTTGTGATGCAAACTTTGCTTTAAAAATTGCTTTTAATTTTGATAAAGATACTATTATTTTCAAGGAAGATTCACATCACTTTGGCCTTTTTTGTGGTTCTTTATAGTAACAGAACTTTAAAAATGAACTAACTAGCTTCTGAAATCTTACTCTAGAGAAACGTTAACAGAATACATTCATATTGGAGACAGATTATTTTGGTTTTTTAAGAGTTTTTTTTATTAGAAAGTCCACTCATATTGTTCAAAGCTCAAAAGTCTATACTGAAAAGTTTCCTTCCCACCCCTTCCCTGAACTACACAAGTCCCCCCCTTGAAGCAGTTACAACTATCAATTTGAGAAAGTTTTAAAACATCAGCCCATGAATGATTTCTTCCCTTGTGCAGCCCACTCTTGCCAGTGCTGTGCAGGGCACAGGCCTAATGACAAGTAGTGTGAAGAGATGAAAAAAATAAAGAACTAATGTGATTAGTTTGGCTAGATGAGAAAATGTCACACTTCTGTCAAATCTCCCTTGAACTACAGAAGGTCCATGAAATAAAGAGGCATCTTGTCAAAGGAAAAGGTCTTACCCAAACATTTTCTGAGGATTCTATAAATTGAACTCAAGGTACTTTCACCCACAATAATAAAAGCCTAATATCTAAATGTTCAAAAAAATCAACTTAGTCTTTGTAGAACTGATATGAAGCAACTTTTTAATTCAATAACTGGCATCTTTTTTTTTTTTTTGGAAACAGGGTCTCTCTCTGTTGCTGAGGCTGCAGTGCAGTGGCACACTCATGGCTCACTGCAACCTTGACCTCCTAGACTCAAGCAATCCCCTACCTCAGCCTCCCTAGTAGCTGGGACTACAGGTATACTCCAACATGCCCAGATAATTTTTGTATTTTTTGTAGAGACAGGGTTTTGCCATGTTGTCAAGGCTGGTCTTGAACTCCTAAGTTCAAGCCATCCACCTGCTTTGGCCTTCCAAAGTGCTGGAAAAACAGGCATGAGCTTCTATGCCTGGCCAATAACGCCCACTTTTTATCAATGGCACTTTTTAAAAATGTTTATTCTTTTATTTTTTTGAGATAGAGTGACATTTTGTCACCCGGGCTGGAGTGCAGTGGTGCGATCTTGGCTCACTATAGCCTCAGCCTCTCAGTTTCAAGCAATTTTCCTGTCTCAGCTTCCTGAGCAGCTGGGACTACAGGTGCATGCCCACACCCAGCTAATATTTTATATTTTTAGTAGAGACAGAGTTTCATCATGTTGGCCAGGCTGATCTTCAAATCATGATCTCATTTGATCTGCCGACCTTGGCCTCCCAAAGTGCTGGGATTACCGGCATGAGCCACCGTGGCTGGCCAATGGCACTTTAAATATATCATCTTATTTTTTTAGAGTAAAATTCCTGAAATGCTTGAAGTTCTAGTCATGCTCAAGGATTCTCTTTGCTTTTTTCTATTTAGTCTATCTCTAAGAGCAGTTCCTGGACTTTTCCATACCTGACCTTAGCTCCATCACATTTTTAATGGATGTCCATCTTTCTAATGTCATGTCCAAAACAAGCTGAATGGTTTTGCAGTTAATGAGAAACTTTTCATGTTTCTTTCAAAGCCCAAATGGAAAATGGTGTTTTTCCATGGAATACTATGCAGCCATAAAAAAGGATGAGTTAATGTCCTATTTAAGACATGGATGAAGCTGGAAACCATCATTCTCAGTAAACTAACACAAAAATAGAAAACCAAACATTGAATCTTCTCACTCATAACTGGGTGTTGAACAGTGAGAACATGTGGACACAGGGAGGGAAATATCACATACAGGGGCCTGTCAGCAGGTGGGGAGCTAGAGGAGGGACAGCATTAGGAGAAATATCTAAGGTAGATGACGGGGTGATGGATGCAGTCAACCACCATGGCACGTGTATACCTATGTAACAAACCTGCATGTTCTGCACATGTACCCCAGAACTTAAAGTATAATAATAAAAAAGAAAAGAAAATGGTGCTTTTTTTAGAAACATGGCTGATTCATGAATCTAATTTGTAATATAGATTATATGCTGAGCATGTTATAGACAATGTGGGGCACAGAAGACCTGTAAGAAGCATGGCACTTGTTTTCAGAGAACTTCCAATTTCATGGGTAGGATGACAACAGGCACTATGGCCGGGCATGATGGCTCACGCCTGTGATCCCAGCACTTTGGGAGGCCAAGGCGGGTGGATCACCTGAGGTCAGGAGTTCAAGACTAGCCTGGCCAACATGGTGAAACCCCATCTCTACTAAAAGTACAAAAATTAGCCAGGCATGGTGGTGTGTGCCTGTAATACCAGCTACTAGAGAGGCTGAGGTAGAGGAATTGCTTGAACCCAGGAGGTGGAGGTTGAAGTGAGCTCAGATCATGCCACCATACTCCAGCCTGGGCAACAGAGCAAGACTTAGCCTTAAAAAAAAAAAAAAAAAAAAAAAAAAGACAACAAGCACTACAACAGAGAATAAGTAGAAAAATCAATCATTTGGGCAGTACATCTTAATTATGATAAATGGATGTCATTAGAAGAGGAAAAACCAGACTATTCTCTGAGTCAGAGGTCCAAACAGGAATAAAGCCTAAGAAACATTGATTGCTTATTTAATGTTATCTCTGGTCTATGATGACACTGAAACTGTAGTATGTAAAGAACTGAGCACAGTGCCTAGGACATGGTAACTGTATAATGAATGGTAACTGTAATTATTTTTTATTATTAGATTTTTTCTTTCTTTTTTTTAGATAGGGTCTCAACCTGTCATCTAGGCTGGAGTGTAGTGGTGCAATCTCGGCTCACTGCAACCTCCGCCTCCAGGGGTCAAGCCATCCTCCCACCTCAACCTCCTGAGTAGCTGGGACTTTAAGTGTGTGCCACCACACCTAGCTAATTTGTATTTTTTGTAGAGACAGGGGTCTCCTTATGTTGCCCAGGCAGGTCGTGAACACTGCGGCTGAAACAATCTGCCCACCTCGGCCTCCAAAACTGCTGGGATTACAAGCATAATCCTGAAATGCTTGAAGTTCTAGTCACCCTCAAGGATTCTCTTTGAATCCTTGAGGATTACAGACGTGAGCTACTGTGCCCATCCTATTATTAGACTTTTCATTCATGACACTTACTAAGTCTACTATCTTCCTAGTCAATACCTGATACAATAAATCAATAAATTTTTGTTAAACTGAATATTTCTGTTATGTAAAAGTAACCTATACAGCAATTTTCCTGCTAGTAAAATATCCTAAAAAAAAGAACACATTAACTCAAAATGCTTACTTTTCAATAAATCCATCTCTAGTAAAATACTCATGATGCAAAAGATCACTAGAGGATATCCTGCCAGCAGGATCAATTTGTAAACAAGCCTAGAAAAGGAAAAAGATTTTAATAAGTGAGCTCTCAACAGGGCTCCATATGGTAAAAATTAAATTTATTTGACAAATTAAGAAGTAATTATCTAGATCAAAAGGCATTCCTGAAAAGATGGAGTTGGACCACAGGAATTTCTGGTAGTAAGGTCTAACTGTTTATTTCCCTAAGGAATTTGCACTTGCAAAACTTTATTATAGGTTAAATGTCCCATGATTCTAGCCAAAACAGAGGTCAGTCTGTTTCTGCTGAAATTATCAAAATTTAATTAGACCATTTTGATCCTCTTTCCTGCCCTGTGAGATGGAATGTTCATGGATAATCATTTGCATTTTACATATGTAGAAGCATGATTACTAGTTTGCCAAACATGAGTTTTAACCCATGTTGTTTTACTCCTAATCCAGTGCTCTTTCTATAGCATAATACAATTTTGCAAATATTCAAGTCCCTAAATCTTTCAATAACCCATTATTAAAACAGCTCTTTTCTGTTTCCCTGCCTTGGTATAGAAACAAACAAAAAATGGAAGGAAGTTTTGAATGTTAAGTTGTACATAATAAACTTATGTATAGTTAAATAACAATAATTATAAATAGAACATATTTCTTTAATCAAAATATTAAAGACAGATTTTGAATAAAAGGCATCTGCATTATAATTTTCATTCTTCCTGTGAAAGGAGGGAAAACATAATAACAGTTAACTTCTTTTTTGTAGAGATGAGAGTTTCGTTATGTTTGAGGCTGATGAACTCTTGAGTTCAAGTGATTCTCCCACCTCAGTCTCCCAAAGTGCTGGAATTATAGAAGACAGCCACCATGCTTGGCCTTTTAAAATTTTTTGACAGACAGGTTCTTACTCTGTCGCCCAGTCTGGAGTGTAGTGGTGCAATTATAGCTCACTGGAGCCTTAAACTCGTTGGCTCAAGATATCCTCCTGCCTTAGCCTCTTGAGTAGCTCAAACTACAGACACATGCCACCATGCCTGACTAGTAACTTTTATTGATGCTTACTATATACCAGACAATGTTTCAGCTTTCTTCTTCATTCCATCCCAACAACAACCCTACAAAGTATTATTATTATTACCCTCACTATACAGATGAGGAGACTGAGGCCCAGAGAGATTAAGTAATTCGTCTAAGATCTCATAAGCACAGGAGGCACAATTAAAATCCAACAAATCCAAGATAATTGTATATAATATTATGTTTCTGTTTATTTCAAAATGCATATTCAAGTTGATTCACAGAAAAAAAATCTAGAGATCTGCTGTACAATAATGTGCATGTAGTTAAAAATACCATACTGTACACTTAACAATTTTGTAAGAAGGTAGATTCCGGCTGGGTGCAGTGGCTCACACCTGTAATCCCAGCACTTTGGGAGGCTGAGGTGGGCAGATCATGAGATCATGAGTTCAGGAGTTCAAGATCAGACTGGCCAACATCATGAAACTCTGTCTCTACTAAAAAATACAAAAATTAGCTGGGCATGGTGGCTCGTGCCTATAATCCCAGCTACTTGGGAGGCTGAGGTAGGAGAGCTGCTTGACGGGACCAGGGAGGCGGAGGTTGCAGTGAGCTGAGATTGCGCCATTGCACTCCAGCCTGGGCTACAAAACAAAAAACACTGATTTACAGAAGAGAATTATTTAAGTCTATCACCTACTTAGTGATGTGACAATACCTAGGTCTTTAAAACTGCAACTACTTAAAAATATGTGCTTATTTTAGAACATAAAGGTAATCTATCACTAAAACATAATAAGAAAAACGCTAAAGGGTCTGACCAAATCATAGAGGCAGATAAATTAGAGGCAGTCCTTCTGTGAATATAATTCAGGGAATTTAAATATATGCCCTACTTTGGAAAATGTAAAATATGACACTTTGGGAAACAGATTGGCAGCTTCTTTAAAAATTAAACATATGCCTACCCATGACCCAGCCATTCTGTTCTTAGATATTTCTGCAAGAGGAATGAAAATACGTTGTGTGTTCCACACAAAGATGAACATGAATGTTCTCATGGCAACTTTGTGATAGCGAAAAATGGGAAACAATCCAAATGTCCATCAACAGGAAAGGGATTTTTTAAAATGTGGTATAGTCATATAATGAACCACTACTCTGCAAAAAAAGGAATCGCTGATACATACAAAAACATGAATGAATCTCCAAACCATTATGCTGACTGGAAGAAGACAGATACAAAAGAGTACCTGCTGTATGATTATGTTTATATAAGATTCTGGAAAATGCAAACCAATCTATGGGAACAGAAAGCAAATCAGTGGTTATCTGGGGACAGAAATGGAAGAAAAGATGGATTGTAAAAGGACACAGTGAAATTCTGGAGAGTGATGGAGATGTTAGGTTGTGTGTTTGTGTCTGTTTCTGTGTGTGTGTGTTAGGTATCTTGATTACGGTGGTGGTTTCATGTGTGTATACATGTATCAAAACTCTTCAAATTATACATTTTAAGTACGTGAGTTTACTGTCCATAAATTATACCCCAATACCATTGTTTAGAAAATTTATATCTAGGAAAAATACACGCCCTACATCAGATATTCAAATGTATTTTAAAGTTACAATAATAAATCAAAGTTGTACTACTTCTAGAATAAAGAGAAAAATCAGTTGAACAGAAACATACTACACATGTATAAGCATTTTGTCTAAGATAAATGTAGCATTCCAAATCATTGGATGATTCTAATTGTTAAAAAAAAAAAAGCATATTGCAAGTCTTGCAAAAGTATTGCAAAACTTATGACAAAAGATTAATGTGTTTTTTTCACAAATCAATAAGATAAATATTTTAGTTGACAAATAGGTTAAGGATTCTTTTCTTCTTTTTTTTTTTTTTTTTTTTTTTTTTTTTTTTTTTTTTTTTTTTTTTTTTTTTTTTTTTTTTTTTTTTTTTTTTTTTTTTTTTTGAGAGTGATACTTGCCCTGTCACACAGACTGGAGTGCAGTGTGCAATCTCAGCTCACTGCAACCTCCACCTCACAGGTTCAAGCAATTCTCCTTCCTCAGCCTCCTGAGTAGCTGGGATTACAGGCATGCACCACCATGCCCAGCTAATTCGAACTCCTGATCTCAGGTGATCCACCCACTTCGGCCTCCCAAAGTGCTAGGATTACAGGTGTGAGCTACTGCACCTGGCCTCTTTCTTTTTTTTTAGACAGGGTCTTGCTCTGTCACCCAGGCTACAGTGCAGTGGTGCAAGCATAGACCACTGCAGTCTCAAACTCCTGGGTTCAAAGTATCCTCCTGCCTCAGCCTCCCAAATAGCTAAGACTACAAGTGGGTATCATGACACCCTATGATTTTGTTTGTTTAGAGACAGGATCTCACTATATTGCTGAAGCTAGGTCTGGAACACCTGGCCTCAAGCCATCCTCCTCCTGCCTTGGCCTCTAAAAGTCCTGGCATTACATGCACGAGTCACCATGGCTGGCCTAAAGATTCTTAAAAAAAGAAATGCAAATAGACAATGAATATTAGCATAATGTTTCTCTCTCCTCTAATGATATAAATCCAATTTAAAAAAATACCTCCCAGCTACTCAGGAGGCTGAGGCAGGAGGATTGGTTGAGTTCACTAGCCTGGGCAGCATAGCAAGACCTCATCTCAAATAACAATACTAATATCCAATGCTAAAGTGAGAGTGAGGATATAAATAAGAAAAAATATCTGTGAAAGAAATAGCAAAATATCAAAACTTCTAAAAAATATAAATCCTTTGGCTTACTGAATCCACTTTTAATATATGCGTTTTCTAAGACAGGGTCTCACTCTGTTACCTAGGCTGGAGTGCAGTGGCACAATCACAGCTCACTGCAGCCTCAACCTCCCAGGCTCAAGCGATCCTCCCACCTCAGTCTCCCAAGTAGCAGGGACTACAGGCACATGCCACTGTACCCAGCTAATTTTTTATGTTTTGTAAAGACAGAGTCTCCCTATGTTTCCCAGGTGGGTCTTGAATTTCTGGGCTCAACTGATCCTCCTACCTCAGCCTCCCAAACTGCTAGGATTATAGGCATGAGGCACTGCCCCCGAAACCTCTTCTAGTAATTTCTCCCAAAGGAATAATAAAACAAATGCATATAGACAAGTATAAAAAAATTTCATTGTCATATCTTTACCAATAGTGGGGGGAAAATGAAAAGTAATTCAAATGTCCAAAAACACAAAATTTGATAAACTAACTGTATAGTCGTACAATGAAATACTATGCAACCACTGAAAACAATCATACAGTTCCATGTTTATTAACATTATAGTATGTTTAAATATACTGGTAAGTACGTAAAAATAAACAGGTTACATAGGCGTGTGTAAAGTAAGACACCTTTTTAAAAGCATAAATTTCTATGCATCTATTTGGTTGGGAAAACTTTAGAAACCTATAAACCAAATTGATAATAGTAGTTTTTTCTGGTTCATGTGAATTGGGAAAATCTGAACTTCTCCTTTTTGTTTACTGTGTATTTTATATTTTCTCTATAATTATTATGTATTTCTTATATTAGGTTGGTGCAAAAGTAATTGCAATTCTTGCCATTACTTTCAAAATAAAATTAATGTTTTGTACTAAATATGTTGGTATATTTATTACCTAGTTTAAATAAATTTTATGTTTTTATTTTTATCATCTATTGATTTATTTTTGAGACGGAGTCTTGCTCTGTCACTCAGGCTGGAGTGCAGTGGTGTGATCTCAGCTCACTGCAACCTCCGCCTCCAAGGTTCAAGTGATTCTCCTGCCTAAGCTTCCTGAGTAGCTGGGACTACAGGCACACACCACCATGCCCAGCTAGTTTTTCTATTTTTAGAAGAGACGGGGTTTCATCGTATTGGTCTGGCTGGTCTTGAACTCCTGACCTCAGGTGATCCACCTGCCTCAGCCTCTCAAAGTGCTGGGACAACAGGCATAAGCCACTGTATCCAGCCATTTTAAATAAAGTTTAAATTTTGACCAGGAACAGCTGCTTATGCCTATAATCCCACTTTCAGAGGCCAAGGAGGAAGGATTACTAGAGGATAGGAGTTCGAGGTTGCAGTGAGCAATGATCACACCATTGCACTCCAGCCTCGGCAGCAGAGTGAAATTGTAAAAAATAATTAATTTTTTTTAATGGGGCCTGGCACTGTGGCACATGCGTGTAATCCCAACATTTTGGAGGCTGAGGCAAGTCGATTTTTTGTGCCCAGGAGTTTGAGACCAGCCTGGGCAACACGGAGAAACTCAAACTCTACAAAAAAATACAAAAATTATCTGGCATGTTGGCATGTACCTGTAGTCCAGGCTACTAGGGAGGCTGAGTTGGGAGGATCAAGTGAGCCCGGGAAGTCGCAATTTCAGTGAGCTGAGGTCACACCACTGCACTCTGACCTGGGTGAAAGAGTGAGAGCTCATCTCAAAAATAAATAAATAAAGGCCAGGCGCGGTGGCTCACACTTGTAATCCCAGCACTTTGGGAGGCTGAGGCAGGTAGATCACCTGAGGTCAGGAGGTCGAGATCATCCCGACCAACATGGAGAAACCCCATCTCTACTAAAAATACAAACTTAGCCGGACATGGTGGTGCATGACTATAATCCCAGCTACTTGGGAGGCTGAGGCAGGAGAGTCGCTTGAACCGGGGAGGCGGAGTTTGTGGTGAGCAGAGATCATGCCACTGCACTCCAGCCTGGGCAACAAGAGCAAAACTCTTGTCTCAAAAATAAAGGGGGGGCCAGGCACAGTGGCTCACGCCTGTAATCCCAGCACTTTGGGAGACTGAGACGGGCGGATTATGAGGTCAGTCAGGAGTTCAAGACTAGCCTGGCTAACAGTGAAACCCCGTCTCTACTAAAAATGCAAAAATTAGCCAGGCATGATGGCGCGCGCCTGTAGTCCCAGCTACTCGGGAGGTTGAGGCAGGAGAATTGTTTGAACTCAGGAGGTGGAGGTCACAGCGATCCTAGACCATGCCACTGCACTCCAGCCTGGGCGACAGAGTGAGACTCCATTTCAAAAAATAAATAAATAAGTAAACAAATAAAAATAATAATAATAATTTTTAAGTAATAAAAAGGAGCTATATAATGTTTTTATTTTCTCCAGTTCAAGATGGATTTTGGCCTTGGTGTATCTTCAGACGTTAAAACTACAGCTGCTAATGTCCTGTAGATATTTTAGTACAAAAAATAGGTCCCTAACCTAGCTAAAGTAAATGTTAAAAGGTAGTGATAAACATAGTAAGTCCTTAGAATTTCTCCAGGTTATACCTAATTATCATTAAAATAGAGATAAATTAAATATAATGAACCTAATTATCTTAGGGGGCTTTTAGCTCTGACAGTCTATGAATTTTAATTTCTCTGTACTAAAGACATAACTTTCTACGGATTACTTTAGGAATCCTTTTGGAATTTCATTAAAGTGATCATTTAAAACTGTACTATAATTTATGCAAATTTCTCAGATATAAAGTCTTAATTTCTCAACATACATGAACTGGCTAGGCACAGTGGCTCATGCCTATAATCCCAGCATTTTGGGAGGCCGAGGTGAGCGGATCACTTGAGCTCAGGAGTTCAGGACCAGCCTGGCCAACCATGGCCAACATGGTGAAACCCCATCTCTACTAAAAATACAAAAATTAGCTGGGTGTTGTGGGGGGCACCTGTAATCCCAGCTATTCAGGAGGCTGAGGCAGGAGAATTTCTTGAGCCTGGGAGGCAGGGGTTGAAGTGAGCTGAGATCACACCACTGCACTCCAGCCTGGGTGACAGAGCGAGACTCTGTCTCTGGAAAACAACAACAACATACATGAACTATATCTGCCAACAATCCATTAAGCTTTGGATATTTTTTTCTTGCGTTTTTGGGATGTTGAACTTGAGGAAGAACTACCCCAGCAAAAATGGGGCTCTTGGAAAAGATATTCTGCAAGTGAGGTGTCAAATTGCCTGAAAAGAAAAAAGAAATGTATATTTAAAAAACAGAGAAATGAGTATATGTTCAAAATAATCAAATTGCTATGTAATCTACATTAGATTACTAAAAACCTATACAAGGAAAAATAGCAATCATGTCTTTTAATTTCTCAAAGTTGAATAAAAACTTTCTGAATATGTCATAAAAAATCGAGGTTTCCTAAGTTATCTGCTGATAGCCCACAGGCAACAGGGGATATAAAACCACCAGGTTTATTTGTTTTTCCTAAACTATAAGACATAATATGTAATACTATCAGAAAATGCACAGTCCAACTTTTACACATTTCCATATAGGTATCCAAATGGTTTTACTATCATCAGCAAAATAGGTTGAAACCGTACTCAAAACAGCTAAAATATGCCGGGCGCGGTGGCTCAAGCCTGTAATCCCAGCACTGTGGGAGGCCGAGGAGGGTGGATCACGAGGTCAAGAGATCGAGACCATCCTGGTCAACATGGTGAAACCCCGTCTCTACTAAAACTACAAAACATTAGCTGGGCATGGTGGCGCGTGCCTGTAATCCCAGCTACTCAGGAGGCTGGGGCAGGAGAATTGCCTGAACCCGGGAGGTGGAGGTTGCGGTGAGCCGAGATGGCGCCATTGCACTCCAGCCTGGGTAACAAGAGGGAAACTCCGTCTCAAAANAAAAAAAAAAAAAACCAGCTAAAATATTAAAGGTATTTAGAAATCAAAATTTGCAAAAAAAGAAACCAGGCTAGAGAGTAGTAGCAGAATGAAAAGAACTAAAATAGGTGTGAAGGGAACTAAGTTCTAGCAGTTTTGCTACAACTAGTTCTGTGACCTTGGGTAAATCTCTTCCTTTTTTATGCTTGGTTTTCTCATTTGTGAAATGATAGGATTAAACTCTACCATTTAAGGTTCCTTCTGATATTAATCCCTTAACCAGAACTTCTTAAAAGACACACAAAAGTGAGGTGTCTTAAGGCTCTAAACGATATCTGAAATCATTAATTATCCAAATTTCACTGTTTTTAGAATTGTTCATAGTATCTTCCTCATAATCCTGTAATTACAATTTTATGTATAGCTTCCCTGCCACACAAAGAGCTTCTCAATCTCCTCATTCAGTAATAATAAAAAACAAATCTTGGCCAGGCATGGTGGCTCATGCCTATAATCCCAGCACTTTGGGAGGCCAAGATGGGTGGATCACTTGAGTTCAGGAGTTCGAGACCATCCTGGACAACATGGCAAAACCCCAGCTCCACTAAAAATGCAAAAATTAGCCAGGCATGATGGCACGTGCCTATAGTCCCAGCTACTCGGCAGGCTGAGGTGGGAGAATCACCTGAGCCCAGGAAGTGTGCCATAATTGCACTACTGCACTCCAGCCTGGATGACAAAGTGAGACCCTATCTTTAAAAAATTAAAATTAAAAATTAAAAAAAAAACCCATAAATCTTGAAATTGTAATTTCAAGACTAACCATCATAATGTTTTTGGTGGCCAAAGCAGATCATCAAATAATTAAACTCTCATTAAATATACTCTTTTTATTTTGAGACAAAGTCTCATTCCATTGCCCAGGCTAGAGTGCAGTGGCACGATCTCAGCTCACTGCAACCTGTGTCTCCCGGATTCAAGTGATTCTCATGCTTCAGCCTCCTGAGTAACTGTGATTATAGGTACCTGCCACCACAACTAGTTAATTTTTTTTTTTTGTATTTTTAGCAGAGATCGGGTTTCACTATGTTGGTCAGGTTGGTCTCCAATTCCTGATCTCAGGTAATCTGCCTGCCTCAGCCTCCAAAGTGTTGGGGTTACAAATGTGAGCCACCATGCTCAGCCTTCATCAAATATGTTCTTGAACTCAGCTATCTGGCTATCTATTCTTATTTTCTTTAAAAAGAAAGGTGGTTGGCGAGTCACGGTGGCTCAACGCTTGTAATTCCAGTACTTTGGGAGGCTGAGGCAGGTGGATCATGAGGTCCAGAGTTCAAGACCAGCCTGGCCAAGATGGTGAAACCCCGTCTCTACTAAAAATACAAAAATTAGCCGGGCGTGGTGGGAGGTGCCTGAAATCCCAGCTACTCGGGAGGCTGAGGCAGAGAACTTCTTGAACCCAGGAGGCAGAGGTTGCAGTAAGCCCAGATCATGCCACTGCACTCCAGCCTGGGCAACAGAGAGAGACTGCATCTCAAAAAAAAAAAAAAAAGGGGTGGTTTCTGAGTAAATAATTTTCTATTTCCAAATGCTTTAAAAAACCATCTGACTCAACTCTATTTAAAAGTTCTTGTATAGAGGTGCGAATATTTGTAGAAGCCTAATTTAAAAACAACTTTTGAACAAATTGAAGTACATTCCTATTGCACTATTTTTCTTAGCATCAACCGTCAACATATGGCTTAGCTATTTGCATCCTAGCAAAGAATTTTCTACCTTCTTTATCAGCCCAAGGCACCCATCTGCTGCTATCAAAACAATATGCTTCCCTGTTCTTATACAGAAAAGTGAAATATGAAAATTAAGCAGAATTGATCTGGTAATATTTATTTTAGACATGTAACTCATGTTATTTCAGTAATACCTACCTACTTTCAAAACGATTTTATGGAGTAAATCCAAATCAGAGGTACTAGGAAGATAGGGATTTCCAGTGGCCATCTCAATGATCATACAGCCCAAAGCCCAGATATCCACAGGTCTCAAACAGATCAGAAAAAAAAATCACTTTTTCATGTAGAAATATATAAATATATTCTTAAAAATATGTTTAAATAAGGCCGAAGCCAAAGAAACAAGTGGTATCATTTGTAAGTTTTTCTTGTAGACCATATACCAGCTTTATAAGAATTGTTAACTGCTATATTGGTGAGGCTACAGGAAGGAAATAGTCCCATGTACTGTTCTGGGTGTATAAACTTATACAACTTCTTTGGAGGAAAAATTGGCAAAAGCCACCAAAATTTAAATTGCATATACTTTTGATTGTATAGCTTTATTCCTAGGATTTTATCCTAAGATATACTCACATGTGTATACAAATATAAATATGAGAATTTCACTGCAGCTGTTTGTGGAAGAAAAAGATTGGAAACAACCAAAACATCCATCTGTAAGGGAATGGCTGAGAAAACTTTTGTACAACCACACAATAAAATATTCATCTGTTAAAAATGATGAGGTAGGTCTATCTATATATGCAGAAATAGAATGATATCCAAGATAAATTATCAAGCTAAAAAAGCAACATTCATGAAAGAAATCAAAGATCTAAATAAATGGAAAGATACTCCATGTTCATCAATACTCCACGTTACTCAATATTGTCAAGATGTCAGTTCTTCTGAGCTTTATGTAAAGAGTCAATGCAATCCCAATCAAAATCTCAGTAAATTAAAAATTGATAATTATGTGAGGTAACACACCTATGTCAATTAGCCAAATTTAGTCATTCTACAATGTATATATACCTCAAAACATTATGCTGCATACAATAAATACATACAATTTAATCTGTGAATTTAAAAAAAAATCCTAGGAAACTATTTTGTAGATATTGACAATTGATTGCAAAGTTTATATGAAGAGGCAACAGACTCAGAACAGCCAATACAATATTGGAAAGAACAAAGACTGACACTACTTGACTTCAAGATGTTTTATAAAGCTACAATAAGCAAGATAGTATGGTGCTGGTGAAAGAATAACCAAGTAGATCAAGGAAACAGAATAAAGAACCCAGAAACAGACTTGCACGCATATACTTAACTGATTTTTAATAAAGGAACAAAGGCAAATGAATAGAAAAAAAAGATAGTCTGTTCAGCAAATAGTACTGGAACATATAAAAACTAAATCTAAACACAGACCTTACACCTTTCACAAAAATTAACTCAAGATGCATGGTAGACCTAAACATAAGATGCAAAACTGTAAAACCTCTAGACAATCACATAGGAAAAAATCTAAATGGCCTTGGGTTCGGTAATGAGATTTTAGATACAACACCAAAAGCATAATTCACAAAAGAAAAAATTGATAGGAGGAACTTCATTAAAATAAACATTTCTGCTCCATGAGAGATAATGTTATACAAATGAAAAGACAAGCCACAAATTGGGAGAAAATGTTTGCAAAAGAATAAAGAATTTGTATCCAAAACACATAAAACTCTTAAAATTCAAGAGAACCCAATTAAAAAATGGGCAAAAGATATGAACATACATCTCACCAAAGAAGATATAAAGATGGCAAATAGGCAGATTAAAAGATGCCCAATATCATACATCATCAAATAATTCCAAATTAAAACAATAATGAGTTACCACTACACACCTATTAGAATGCCTAAAATCCAAAATACTGACAACATCAAATGCAGGTGAGGATGGAGAGCAACAGGTTCTCTCATCCAATGCTGGTAGAAACACAAAATTCTACAGTCACTTTCGAGGACAATTTGACAGCGTCTTACAAAGCTAAACAGTCTTACCATATAACCCAGCAATTGCTCTCCTTGGCATTTACCCAAATGAGTTGAACACTTAAGTCCACACAAAAACCTGGACATGAATGTTTATAACAGCTTGCTTCATAATTGCCAACACATAGAAGCAATAAAGATGTCCTTCAATAGGTGAGTGGATAAACAAACTGTGGTACATATATACAATGGAATATTATTTAGCAATAAAAGAGAAGTGAGCTGTCAAGGCACCAAAGAAAAGGAGGAACTTTAAATATATATTGGTAGGTCAAAGAAACCAGTCTGAAAAAGCTATATACTGTGTGATTCCAACTATATGACATTCTGGAAAAGTCTGAAGTATAGTGACAGTAAAAAGATCAATGGCTGCCAGGAGTTCTAGGAGAGGGAGGGAAGAATAAAAATGAAGCACAGAAGATTTTTAGGACCACAAAATTATTCTGCATGATATTATAATTATGGATACATGACATTCTACATTTATCAAAACCCAGGAAATACAACACAGAGTAAACTCTAAACTAAACTATGGAATTTAGTTAATACTAATGTATCAATATTGGTACATCAACTGGAACAAATGCACCACACTAATACAAGATGTTAGTAATAGAGAAGTGTGTGGAGTAGGGTGGAGGAGACATAGGAAACTACAATTTCTGTTCAATTTTTCTGGAACCTAAAACTGGTCTAAAAATTAAAGTCTATGAATATAAGCAAATAAAAAGTGGCAGGGCTTGGTGGCTCATGCCTGTGGTCCCAGCTACTTAGGAGGCTGAGGCAGGAGGATCACTTAAGCCTGGGAGATCAAGGCTGCAGGGAGCCATGAGTATGCCAATGTACTCCAGCCTGTGAGACAGAGTGAGACACTGTCTCATAAAGAAAGAAGTGGGGGAAGGAAAACCAAGATTTTATACTCTATATATAGTATGCTCCTATTTCTGTTCGAAAGGAAGGAGATGCAGAACTATGTGTATGTATTTGTGTATATTGTTAGATAATGACCGAAGCAATTAAGGAATCAATTATAGAATACATGATTTTTCAGATCTACATTATAACCATGGATGATATAATAATAACTTATAAGCTTGCTTATTTTACAAGTTTTATTTAATGAATATTAGTAAGTTTTAGTGAGAATAAATAAAATGAAGACCAAGTTTTGTATCTTTTGGTGAATACATACATGTGTATGTTCAGCTTTACCTGTTGTTTAGTAACAGTTTTCCAGAGTGATTGTACAAGTTTACATTTCCCCACCAGTGTAGGTGAGTTGTAACTGTTCCACTTACATTGGTCTTTTTTTCAATTTAACCATTCTGGTGGTTACATAGTGGTACCGCCTTGGGATAAAGGTTTGTATGTTTCTTATGACTAATAAAGGTAAGAGCTTTCGCACTTTAAAAAGCCAAGTTTTAGCCCTCAAGCTTTAAGTTAATTATTTTTAAGTATTCTCTCCACAGAATGCAATTTCTATGCACCTCCTCCACTAGCAAAAGAGACACTAAAAACATACCTACACAAAGCAGTTCACTTTTCCCCAGCTTGACCTGAAATTTCACAGTACAGTTTAGTAAGGGAAAGCCATTATCTACAGAAATTTAAAGCATTATCTAGGCAGGCCTTTCAAAGAGCAACAAAGGACAGGCCATGTCTAGTTAATTATCATTGTGGCAGCAATCTTAAAGGGCCCCCCCTATTTTCCGAAATATGAGCAAGTCCTAGTTAGCTATAGAGAAAACCTCTCCTCACTTCAACTACAACATTTTGCAGAAAAAGAGCTGTCTGATGAAAAAAAACGAGAACAAAATTAACCTACTAAGGAAAGTAAAGGTATTAGACTCAAGACTTGGTCAAGAAAAGTAGATGCAAAAGAGCTTAGATCTAATATGTCGCGGTAAGGGAGAATTAAAAAAACAAACAGGGGTATGAACTTCTAGCATGACAGAATGAACAGATCAGCTGACCTACTCTCTTACTAATTTATCACTGAAACTAGTAAAACTTTTTTTTAAGACAGAGTTTCGCTCTTGTTGCCTAGGCTGGAGTGCAATGGCGCAGTCACTGCTCAGTGCCAGCTCTGCCTCCTGAGTTCGAGTGATTCTCCGCCTCGGAATTATTTTTTTAAATACAAACACTTAAAGCATGTATGTATGTATAGAGAGACAGTCTTTATAGTCCTGAGGCTAAGCATAAAATGAAGATTTATTTATCCTCCAAAAACTATGCAATTCAGTATAAGAAAGATGAGTCTGTTGTATTTGAATCAAGAAAACTTTTCCTTCCCCACTCTCTGCCTAGTGAGGCAAAGACTCCACTGTAGGGCTCCCTCTTCCTCTAGCTCCCAGTTGAAGAACTTTCTTCCCAGGACAAGTGCAACTTCGGCATTTCTAATAATTCTCCCAGCTACTTGTTGCTGAGGCTAAGTTCTGGGTGATTCGTGTCAAGAGGAGGGAGACCCTCTTCCAACCAACCCCTGTTCATGGAACAATGGTTCTACCTTGAATGCAATGCACAGAGAATACTGGGGACCAAATTACACTTGCCCCACTCATAAGGCAGAGGTTTCATGCCAGGAGAAGCAAGCTTAGGGGACCTCAGGTTGCTGCTCTCCATATCCCACTAAGCAGTCAGCTCTGAAGAGCAGGAATATAACTTAAAGGGAAAAGTGCCATGAATTCAACACAGATCCAGAAACTGAGCTCAGAGACTTTCCCTGGCAGAAGCAGCAAGCCATAAATTAGATGGCTCCTAATCTCTTTCAAAGGAATTAACATCATTTGCAACAGAGTGTAGAGAAGTTCCAGCCTAAATGTGTTCTCAACAATAGTACAGAAGGTGGTGAAAGGCAACTGGGTGGAGATTCATCAATTTAATGAAGCTACAGTCTAGAATATAGGCCAGCTAGCTTGTGGGAAAGAACCATGGAATAATACAATTAGAAGATGCTTTCCTGGGGTCAGGACAAATATTAAATAGTGAGCATCAAAACTACTTCTTCAAAAGAGCCACAATTTGATTGGAACAGTTTGTAGAGCTATTTAAACCCCAGGGCAATGTTGAAAATAATAGAGCAATAAGCTATCAATGAATGGAGTTTAACAGCTAGGAGTAGCCATGGAAAGAAAGATAACCCTACCAATACCACTGTCATCTCAGAGTGACTGTGGGCCTACCCAAAGCTGTGCCTCCCTGAGGAGCAACTAAAGAGG